TCCCTAGTAATTAGCTTTTTTTTTTAGGGATAACATCATTGACTTTTGGATTTTTGTGTTTTGTTTTAGTGACATAAAGTCCAACTTCAATTTTAATGACAAAAGGTGAGTCATGTTGTACATTCACGTGGTTGTATGTCCCTTTGTTGCCCTGCCATGGATACTTGGTTCATGATACTCTAAATCATTTGTTGAAAGGTCATACTTTGATAGCACCAGTTTTATTTTGTTCCTTTTTACTTTGTATGCACTTAGATTACATAATAATATGCTTCTCTTTGGGGGATAACAATTGATTTTCTGATTTTTGTCTGTTATAGTGACAAGTTCAACGACGATTTTATGGATCACGACTCACCTATTCCTATGATTGTTAGTATCGTGGGCTCCATCTTCCTTTTTCTTGTCCTCATCTGCTGCTGCATCTGTCCCTGCTGCTGCATTTACAAGCTGTGCCGCAAGCCACGACGTAAGTAGTCCTCAGGAAAAACCACGTCTTTTGGTTTACTATTATGGTTGGTAGATTATCTGCCTAAAAACATATTGCAAGGCAATATGGTACCTGATTTGATTTTATATATGTAAACTTTCAATACCAATCTCATCTTATTGACACTGTTATTTCCAAGCAACTCAGTGGTCTTAATTTAGTACTACTGTAAATTAGGGTCCATAATGGCACAATGTATTGCTAAACTTTTATTTACGCTCTAAGTTTATTATTAACTTTTGTTAATTATCATACTTAATCTTACATGGAAACTTAATCAGTTTCCATGTAAAAAAATAAATAAAATAAATAAATTAATTTCTTCATTATTATAATTATTTGCTATAAGATTATTGATGAAAAGAAATGTAAATTACACTGGCCAGCCAGGCATGGTCTGTAGGTCAGTCTAGTGAGGCGAAATACTCTGTGCTCCTTTCCAAACCGATATGGTGTGTAAATGCATAAATGAGTTTTAGCTAGCCAGGCTTTCATTTATCAGAAAACCAACAGAGAGTAAAGATGGCAGAGAAAGGGAGAGATGTGCGGAAGGCCAGGACTCAAAACCTTGCTGCATTACCTCTACACTGCAGCAGCACCAAATTTTTATTAGATTATTTTCCCTCACTTTAGTGGTTGGTGATTAATGGTAAAATAATGTTACTTGGTTTTCTGATTTTAAAAAAAGTTCTCTCAATTTTGCCCATTTAAAAATTAGTTCTCTGCTTGTAAAATTAACTCCATACGTTTGCAGTTTTAGGAGTCATGTGTGATGCTGCCATGCTCAGCCAGGTCCCTCTTTAAAAGATTAATGGTATCTACTGAGATAAAGATTATATGCATAGATAAATACATGCATTTGTATGCAGTGTCAGCTGCATGTTGCTAAAACATTCTATGTTTCCTGCACACAACCAACAAGTAACACATTTTAGAGATGCATGCTGTTTGTCTACCTCTCAGCACATGCAGCAGTGCAGGGCTTGGCTTCTAACATAGTTAGTTTGCTCTTGAGGTTTCCAATGTGGTGGAGATTTTTGTATGTGAACTTGTAAACCAGAACATCAGGGGACTCATTTCAGGATGGTTGGCCCACCCACCACCTGACTTTCATCACAGAAGGGTTTGGGTCTTACCAAAAACACAGACATGACAGAACAGAGGTTCCTGAAGCCTGATAAATAAGGTCCTCACCCCTTGGGGTTATGACACATTCAGTCATTAAAGATAATTACTGTTTTAGTTTTGAGCCACACCTGATCCTGCTGTTTGTTCACCTTGAAAGACTTTTCCTTTTTTGCATATGAAACCACTCCCCTTCATATTTGTTCATAATCTTTAACACATTTTTCTGTATGCTTTTTTTTTTGTCACACTTTGTTTTTTTTTTTTTTGGATTACCGGTACTACAGATTTCACTGTTGGACAAAGATGAGCAGCATAAATACTAGAATCATGTTTAGAATGATCACTGTGGGTTTATGTCTGCTTTATTTTGCAGGTTACTTGAATTCAGCAATTTTATGGGATTTTCTAAGATGAATTTCCTCTTAAGAATCTCAGCCCATCAATCATATTTAAGTTCAAACTGTTCTTTCATTCACTGCTGATGAAAGCAGGATCAATACCTTCTAAAATGTTCCTCTGACTTAAAAATCCACTGAATGTTTTACAGAAGCTCTTAAGGATTGTGAAGAATCATAAAAGGTTATTCTGAAGCGAATCTGGACTTTGGTGTTTATGGCGTTGTCCCAGGCTCTCTTCTAATCTCCAGAGTGACTGGAATTAGTTTAAGAGGAATTTAGCTTGGCCGACCACTCCTAGGAAGGATCACCACTAAGCAATTTTTCTCCATGTGTAGTTTTTTGGGGGTCTTTTCTTTTCTGGAGTCTCAGAAACGGTACTCTTTCAAACATTGTATAATAATATAATTTTTTACTTTCTGTTGCACTTTCAATTTCAAAGTGTAGTACCAATCATTTTCATCATTATAATTGTCCTTCATTTTTAAATACATATAATAATTATTACCTCCAGGTCCATGGCTTTAAGCTTCTTCTTCATTTTGCATCAAACCTTAGTTAGCTTATATAAATTTCGCAAACAAAACTCATTTGCACTTTTTCTTTTTTGCACTCAATCATTGTTGGTCACCCTCAACATGCCCACTTATTGCACATGATTTTTTTTTCTAAGTCTACAAGCTGCTATACAAAATTTATATTGATGGATCCTCTCATTCATATGGGTTATAGACTTGGGCTACACCATTTGAAACCTCGGCGATGTTAGACATTTTATTTGCTTGAAAACTCTTAAACATTTTCCCTTAAGCTCTAAAGCCAGTGGCAGCATTGTCTTATTTCAGAATCTTTTTGAAGAAGATCATTAATTTTAGCAGGTCAAACTGAATGCCTGTTTTCTTTTGAAAAGGAATTTGATGTTATAAAGGGTGGGTATTTATTTGTGATGAGGTCTGTCTTTCAGGACATGTTGGTAGTAAACTTTGTATCTGAATCAAAGTTAATGTTCAAAATGCCTTGAAAGCAATAATTTGGGGTGCTTGTGTGCCATATGTAGTTTGATTTTCTCTAAAGGCTCCAACAGCTGTTCTCAGATATGCCTGACAGTGAGATTCAACTGCTTTCCCTGTACCAATACATAGGAGGTAGTTTTATCATTATTAAAATAGAAAGTCAGTATTTCCCTTTTAAAAAGCCCCAAATCTGCATTTATGTCTACAAAATTAGGTAGAGCAGATTTCACTCTCTATATTCTCTCTATATTCTTCATATAATATAGAATAAATAATAGAAAAAACATAAAAATAAATATTTCAAAACAATGTAAAATTAATAGCCGAAATATAAAAAGGAGTAGTTGTTCTCCTCTTGAAAGGATGTTTTCTTCTTTGCTGTAAGCTTTGCCGCTTTTTTTCTCGGTAGAAAACAAAAGTAAACTGCACATTGTAGCATTCTTGGCACAGGCGGCTTCATGCTGGCATCAGATCCAGGAATGTTCAAACTGAGTCAGTGTTTCCATGACACAACTGAAGGGGGAAAACCTCGAGGACGCCCACATCACTTACAGGAAGTGGTCCTGAAAGACACCAACCCTGTCTTTAAATACACATGGAACAGATTTCTGTTTTCTTGGGTCTCTCTCAGTACCCAAATCTTCCAGAAATAATCTGAAAAAGTTTCTTTGCATTATCAATATTGACTTAGCATATTTAATTTAGTTTCTTTTCTATAAAAAAGGGAGAGATTCAGTAGTTTGTCTGAACTTGTTTCCATTTTATAGTTGTCATGTACATTAGATAAGATTTGTGATCACTTGTTAATCCATTGTTGCCTAATTTTTAACTGCCAGGTTCAGGATTTTCTAAATTAAGATTTTTATTAAATGTATAAGTATACTTTCTATACCGGGGGGTGTCATCCTTATTACTCTAGTATGTTCATAAAAATAGGGTGAGAAAGACATAACAATTGAATTAACATAGTTTTTTCAACTGGAAATGCCGGTTTGAGGGGCTTTTTACTGATAGGATTAATCCTCCATTTATAACTAAGTGGGCATTCTATTTTTAGAAGCAGAAGCAAGACGAACAAACCAGTGACCAATTTGTTCTAATATTGTAAAGATTTATTTAGTGTTGAAGGTGTAAATACCATACAGTTTCCATTTTCTAAAATAAAGTTTCAATTATTCAATTTTGGCAACTAGGTTTTGTATTTAGAAAGTTATCTACTTTGCTGAACTTTTATCTAATCGAGAATCTGTGAAGGGAGCTAAAGATTAGGATGATAGCAGTAATCCTCCAGTCTCAAAAACTTGGAGCCCATCCCCAAATAAGGTGATAATAAAAAATAAATAAAAAATCAGTAAATTAAGCGAGTGAGCTTTGTAAGAATGCATTGGTAATACAAGTAAGGATTTTCCTCTAATTGAGAAGGGCTTAATGTTTTTTTTATATGTTTTCTACTCGTATACAGTCAGGAACATACTTCTTGCTTAAATTCTGGTTATTATGCCAGAAGTATGAATATAATTGGGTTAAACTCTCTAAAGATGAGTGGATTTAAAACACATGACATACTGAAGTTGAGGCCAGTTGGTTAGTAAAAATCCAATTGAGTGAAGAAAATGGTTTTTTTTTTTTAGCTAAGCCATCCCTATACTGTTTCTTTTTTACTCTATTATGACTTGTTATTGGTATCTTGCGTTGTAAATGTTCAAAATTTCTCACATTTCCTTGTTTCCTTACAGCTGTGGTAGCTACTACCACCCACACCACAATGGTGACCTCTGCTCCTCAGCCTCAGTACCCCCAGCAGCCAGTTTCAGCATCTGGATACCACCAGCCGTACCAGGCAGCCCAGTATCCACCCTACCAGCCCATGCCAGTTCAGCCTGGCTATGGAACACACCCCACGCCTACCTTGCCTTATGCAGGACAGCCATGTGCCCCAGGACCACCACCACCCTATCAGGAAGCCAGTGAGTATGATCTGCTTCTTGGCGTCCATGGAAAGAGACCATCAAGTGTGATAATGTATCTAAAGTTACACACAGGTTTATTGGTAGACTCTTTATCAGCCTTTTTTCTAAAGATGTTATTTCTGTCACCTTATAGCTATACAGGATTCCTCTCTTTCTGCTGTTGTCAGGTTAAAATTCCCTGTAAGGAACATCCCCTCAGGAGTAAATAGTGGGCCGGATGATAAATATTTAATTGATGCTTTGACTGGTCTGCAGTAAAAAGCTAGCATGGGGTACTAGGGAAGGATTTTCTTAAGGAAATATAAGCTAACTCAACGTGCACTATTTATAACAAATAAGTGGTTAAAACATTTTATAGTTTTAATTATAAAACATATATATATAAAAAATGAGAAAGTAAATTTAGAAACTTGAGTTATAACCTGAGTTTTCCTAATGGTGTAAAATTACGCTTGTTTTTTTTTTTAAAAGTTGATCCTGATTATTCTGACATCAGTCTAACCAATCCACACAGTTTTGTGAGGATTCTTGCAGCCTATGTTGCTTTTCTTCCCCCATTACATGATAAAAATGACATATTGTTACTTAATGTTACACCCATATTAATTTCAACAGAAAATAAACATTTTATTCTCGGCTGATATCATAATGTTGCTAACCTTTGAGTTTTAAACATGCTGTTGTCCAGCCTCTACTGAAAAACCTGACCATGATGGCAGTGTGCTGGCTAAGTTGAGGACCATCTCCAAAGCTGCCTTTTATATTTAAAATCCTAGGAAAGTCATTTTTAGGTGAACATTGTGCGCTGGAGGTGTTTCAGTCTGCTTTTAAATGTCTCCGTAGCACTGAAGGCTTTGTTAAGAGGTTTTAATAACGTCCTCTTGGCAGATGACTCTGGCGACCAAGTTATTCTTGTCCTCTTCGATTTGACAGCAGCCCTTGACACTGTGGATCACAACACCCTAGTGTCTCAGTTAAACCCACTTATTGGCATTTGTGGTAATGTACTGGACTGGTTTGGGTCTTATTTTTTCCAATAGAAGTTTGAGCGTGAGCCTTGGAAACCATGAATCTAGCTCGGCTCCTCTTCCTTATGGGGTACCACAGGGTTCAGTGTTAGGACCCCTTCTCTGTTCATTGTACTTGCTGGCCCTGGGGTTCATACTGAGTAGGCACGGCATCTCTCATCATTTTTATGCTGATGACAGTCAGATATATGTGCTACTGGTATGACTTAATGACATTAAATACATGGGTTGCCCTAAACCTTTTTAATATCTTAACAAGGACAAAACTGTGGTGTTTGGTCCCAGTAATAATTTTTAATCCCCCTGTTGACTTCAGCCTTTTCACTGTTTTTTTCAAAGCCTGTCATCTCAAACTTGGGTTTTAAGATGGTCAGTAATTTTGAATTGGATTGGCAAATCCGCTCTGTAGTAAAGTCCTGCTTTTATCATATCGGATAGTTGGCCAAGGTCAAAACTTTAACAGCAGCACTTTAAAATGGAAAATCATGCCTTTATTACACTTTGTTACATCTTGGCTAGATTACAGTAATGCACTTTATTTTGGAGTGAGCCAGTCCTCCCTGGCACGTCTGCAGTTGGTGCAAAATGCAGCTTCACAGATTTTTAACTGGATTAGATAAGAGGGAGCCCATAACTCCCATCCTTTATTTTTTTGTAAGCCTCTAAATAGCTTGGCCCCTCCCTACCTCTGAGCTTCTCCACCTCTATGCTCCTAATCAGTGCTTCAGGTCAGCTGACCTGCTGCTCCTGGAGGTACCAAGGTCCAAACGGAAGCTCAGAGGAGACAGAGCTTTTTCAGTTTCTGCTCCAAAATTGTGGAATGAGTTCCCACTCCTCATTGGACCACACTCCTCACCGTCCATTTTTAAAACAAGTTTTAAAACCTATTTTTATTCTTTGGCTTTTAAAGCTACAGTGTGTAATAATTACAGGGATATACAGTCAGAAATGTAATATATTATACATAACTATGTTATTTATCATCATCTACGAGCTCAGCCTCTTAACCTTAATATTTGCGTTGCCTTAGAATTCGTTATTTATAATTACATAGGAGCGGGTCTCGCCGCCATGGAGGCAGACATCTTTGCGCTACGGCAGCGCAGAGCCAACAAACTAGCGATTGCGAGATCGCCAAAACGTCACGACGATGTAGAAAAAATAACGGGTATATTTATTATCTTA